CGATGACCAGGACACTACACGCTAAAGGAGGATGCACGTCCACCCTACGCGTGGGACACAGGCTCCCTCGGGCATTCGGCCAGTTGTCGTGTCCCGAGCAAAAAATAAATAAAAAATCATATTGCCGTGTTCGTGTTAAGTGGTCAGTTCTGCCGTGACACTGATTGAGAGGACTCGAATTTGTTGCATGTCGGGGGGGCGGCATAGTGCAATTGTTGTGTGAACAGATCTGAAAACGTAATCAGTTTTGACTTGTGTGTTTGTTTCGTCGTTTACCTCTACCTCATGCTCCCAAGCGACCCGCTGTTATACGTTTTCTTTGCTTGCTAGAATCAGTTCTAATAAGGAAATGCATAGGACTTTCTTTTAAAGATGTACACAGCTATATATGACTACAAAGCAAAAAACCAACGTACCATCGATATACGTTTCCAAGCAATGGTTCAAATTGCACTGTGGTTTGAAAAGATGTGCCCTGAATATATATATATATAATATATATATATATATATATGCTGTATATGTGTATATGCTGCTGCGGTGCTGTAGCTGTTTAGTAGCAGACTCCAAATTTTACTCGAAATAGTCAGGCTTCTGTCCATCTTTATCTGTTGAGCATGTGTCCTCAGGTCGGCCGTTTGCCCAGAGGGAGAGGGGAAAGAGAGGAGGGAGAGAACCGGAGCTGGAGCGTCACGGCAGGGCCTCCCCAATGAGGCATGCAGCTCTTGCAGAGCCAGGCGCTGTCTTACAGGCCCCTTTTTTTTCCGCCACTCGCGCTCCCCAGTTTATTTATCCACAGGCTCGAGATGGGCAGACCAGATGGGAACCAGACAACTTAAACAGAAACAATGGCAAAGGCGAGCACGATTTATCGCCGGGTTCCCCACCACGCCTGCGCTCGCTCACACACATATACAAATCTGCGCGCACAGATGAAGGCTAGGCCAGAGCGAAAGTGTTTATGGAGGCAGCTCGACCCCCCGCTCCTTCACTGCAGTTCCCACGTCATCCGCGCCGTCGTGTTATAAACCCGACTTTTGTTGTGACTGTCGTCAAGAGAAATACAGGGGGGCTTTTCATACAGCGAGGAGTCTTTATGACGCGTCAGAACTGGCGTGGAAGGATGCGTACGTGTACACTAAGCCGCCGAGCAGGCTCCGGGAGCTTCGGTTTGCTCTTAATGTATACTATGTGAAATGGTCTTGAGGTCCTTAACGGCACAGCATAACGTGTACCTGACTTTTGTAGCATGGTAGTGTCTGAAAATATTTCTCACTATATGGAAATGACGAATGACTCTGATCATGTCTCATCCATATTCTTAATATGCTGCACTAAAATCAGGCCTACATCAGGTAAACCATTTGAGACGCACTTCTTGTCCAGATAAAATTGAAGTCGTTGGTAGTGATGGACCAGGATACGACAGTTATTCTCAACCCTTGGAACAAATCTCCGAAGGTTTTCTGTTCAAAACCCCCGGACATGATTGGATCTGTGCAGGTTTTCCATCAACCAAGCCAATATATTTTATCCTCTACTCCAGCCCTGTGGACACATTGTCACAAGGACGACGTTTACACGGACAGCAGTAATCGGATTATTGAGCTTATTCTGAATAAGAGAATAGTCTGATTAAGGTGTTTACAGGAGTCGCTTTTAGAATACTCCTGTCATGTTCAGGTTTTACATGTTATAGAACAGAGATGGATTAACAGCACACGTCATTGCGTCCCCATGCCACGCCGTCCGACGTCCCTCCAGAATTTCACGTATCGACATACAGTCGGTCTTCATTATGGAACCGGATACAGTTTCAGGTGTTTCAGTTTTAATTTTACGAACGCATTAAGTGCAGTTAATTATTTGTCGTGCTGTACGTGCTAACAGACGACTGCTTGAACATGTGGGCTGCGTCCCAAACCACATACTTGTGTGTTCATGTCTGTAATACTCGTTGATAACCCGACTAAAACAGGAGTACTCTGTACCTCAAGTTGTGTTTCATCAACAGCTGAAATTACAATCCTGTAACACACACACACAAATACACAACGCTGCTGTTTGCTTTCAGACGGACATCCTGGTGGTGAGCTGTGACCTGATTACGGACGTGGCGCTGCACGAGGTGGTGGATCTTTTCCGAGCCCACAATGCCACGCTTTCCATGCTCATGAGCAAAGTGCACGAGTTCACCGAGACCGTCCCCGGGCAGAAAGGAAAGAAGAGAGCAGGTACTGTTACTCATGCCATGCTGGACAGGCTAAAGTGATGCTATTTCCAAAATAATAATCAGTTTTCCAATCCATCGTGTCTTCCCTTTTCGTTAAAAATCCCTTATTCCGATTAGATGTTCATTAATGTCCTCGCACATAATTTCGGGGTTTGTAGAGGACCGTACTAACGAGGAGTTTTTTGGATTTTCACTTCGTCATGTGGCTGAATTGCTGACGGAGTAAAAAAAAAACAAAACTAATAAAATAAATAAATAAATAAATAAAATGTATATATATATATATATATAAAATAATAATAATTTAAATAAAAAATCACTGTCCAAACAACATACTCTGTTGGTGCGCAGTTGGATGAAAGTTTCTCTATCCAGACCGTTCCAATTCTTTTGTCAATGAACGCAATGTTCTTCTTTTGTCAAAGGCGTTTTGAAAGTGCACGGGTTATGGTTTTTTCTAATATTGCCTTCCATGTAGTGTGTTTTCGAGCTGTTTGTGAAGCGCACGACAAACGTTAAGAGTTCTCGACTCCCAAACGAAGGAAGCGATTCTGAACAGCTGAATCGATTCATTAGTGATTCCAGAATTACTTCCTGTACTAACCTATGTAGGTTTGTAACAAAAAAAACCTTGGTCTGGAGCAATGGACAGCGGTAGACCAATCACAACAGACTGGGACATCTGACCAATCAGAGCAGAGTATGCTCTCTGAAAGGAGTTTTGAATTAATCATTTAGAACGGATCATTGGACGAGTCGTTTGGGACGCTGGGTGGGGAAAGGTAACGCTGCAGTTTAAATGATGAGCACGTTAAAGTGTTTTTTTGCCCTCGGATGCGTGTAATAATATCGTATGGGAGCTTTAAAACAAAATTAGGCCCGTTTTAAAACTATAATAGGTGCGCTTCAAAGGCTGAAAGAGAATTTCCCCGCAGTATGGAGATTTTTGCGACACCCTGTGTACACTGAAGTTCAGCGAGCCAGTCGGGTCACAACCTTTAACAGACTAAATCATTTTCAACCCCTAAAGGCAGATCGTCTTTTAAAAACTTATTGATGTCAGGGGTTTGGAGTGGCATCATTTCATTGACATGGCAACAGCATTATACACTCAAATCCTTTTTTTATTTTTTTATTTTTTGCCCTCCATGAAAGGTTTGATTATCGTTGTTCAAAGAAGTAGCAACTTCAAATATTTAGAATCTGTAGTCTGAAACAAAAACTGTTTTATTGGCAGTTGGCAATAAAATGAACCAAATCAAACAGTATAAAGAACATAACAAACAATATCTGCAGGTACACCGGTACCTCCAGGATTTAAAACAGTACCAAAACAGTACCTCCTGGATTTAAAACATTACCAAAACAGTACTACAACAGTTCCTCCCGTATTTAAAACTGTGGTCCGGATTGAGGTTGGAAGTTCATTCCACCACTGAGGGACAGTTAGTGTGAAGGTTCTGGAAAGGGACCGTGAGCCACGCTGAGTACTAAACGTCGGTCGCTAATCGATCGCAGATCGCGTGCGGGAACGTAAGCTTTCAGGAGAGTGTTGAGGTCGGAGGGTGCTGTTCCAGACAAGGTCTTGTACGTGAGCATCAAGCATCAATTTGATCCGGGCCGCTACAGGAAGCCAGTGGATTGAGATGAAGAGGGGTGTGACACGGGTTCTCTTTGGGCTGGTTGACGACGTGAGATGTGCTGCTGTATTCCGAATCATCTGAAGGGGTTTGATGGAGCTGGATGGGAGGGCTGGGAGTAGTGCGTTGCAGTAGTCCAGCTGTGTAGCCTGTTCGGTGAGATAGGGTCTGATTTTCTTGCTGTTGTCCAGAATGAACCTACAGGTTAGTGCAGTTGTTGAAATGTGGTCTGTGAAGGTCAAGCTGTCATCAAAAGTCACCCCAAGGTTCCTGGCTCTCCTGGTTGGTTTGAGTGTGGTTGAGCCGAGCTGTACAGTGAGGTCGTGGTTGATACAGAGGCATGCTGGGATGACAACAGGCTGGGATTAACGCCCAATCAACCATTTCCCAAAATTACTGCGGATTTTCCGCTGCTTTGGGACGAGATGCTGAAGGACACTGTGGAGTGTATACTGACCGAGTGTGTGTTGTTGTGCTGCATCAGGAGAGCAGCGGGACTTTGTGGGAGTGGATGTCACGGGGAAGCGGCTCCTCTTCATGGCTAACGAAGCGGACCTGGAAGAAGGGCTCGTCATCAGGAAGGCCATCATGCGCAAGTAAGTGCCAGTGGAGTTCTCCGAGTTTCTTCCTCGTGTTCTCCTTACACATTCCCATCGTTTCTATAGTTTCTCATTCGCAGGGACGTGCATGGTGGACGTTGATCATAATCCAAGCCTAATAATGAACTGATTAAGAACCAAGTTATTAAACAAAGCGTTTAGAGTGTATAATCGTTGCTCTGACAAAGGAGCTTTCGGAAAGGAGACGATTATATTTTGTAGCGTTTTATAAGGAGTCTTCGGTGTCGGAGGTAAAGCTGCTGCTTTAATGTTCCCACCACTGTAGAAAAGAGAGGCTGGTGAGGGAACGAGGGATCCCAGGGAGCATCGTGCACAAGGCGGGGTACACCCTGGACAGGGTGACAGTCCATCGCAGGGAACAATCACATACACACTCACACACCCGTTCATACACTACGGACACGCCAATCAGCCTACCGTGCATGTCTTTGGACTGGGGGAGGAAACCAGAGTCCCCGGAGGAAACCCCCGCAGCACGGGGAAAACATGCAGACTCTATACACACATGGTCACGGTGGGAATCAAACCCCCGACCCTGGGGGTGTGAGGCGAACGTGCTAACCACTGCGCCCCTGTATGACACGTTGTTTATTAATAAATGAAGAATTGTTCTGGTCTGAAACCTCTGCGAGGAATCAAACACTTCCGAGTACTCGAATTGGTGAAATTGCGAATTGCGCGAAATTTGTTTTACACGCATCTATGTTTTGGTAAACAAGACCTTTTAGCTGTACTCATATAAACCTCGAATATTTCAATTAACCCGAGATGGTCTGTGCGATCTAGCGGTCATTCTACGCTACACAAAAGCGTGAAAAATATTGGATTTTGAATCGGATAAAACGAAAACTTTAAAAACGAAAGCACCAAAACGAAGACGTCTTAAAGTTCTATCGCGAGAAACGGACATTTGAACATTAATCCGAGGAGTATTTCAAACACGCTCGGCGACATGGCGCTTTCCACAGCAGGGGAGAGTATAGACTGTTGCTTTTCGACCGCACTAAATGGTCCACTGTTAAGTGTGGGGAGAATTTTACCACCTACGGTACCAGTAACACCGATAAGCGGGACCCGTGGTGTTTTTGCAGGAGCTGACGTGCGGGTGCAGGACAAAACTCGGGCATCACAGGACTCTGACCCTGTGTTTGTGTGGGACGGCTAATAAAAACAAGAGGCCTCCTCGCTCGGCTGCTGGCCCTTCACAAGAGCTGCCTGTTAAGCAGGCCTCATCGGGGCCCACTCTTCCACCATCCCTCCCTCCCTCCCTCCCTCGCCCACTCTAAAGTCTTTCTCTCCTTTTCTTCTCTCTTTTCTTTGCGTTCTCTTTTCTTCAAGCGAGCATTCCGTCTGCGGGTTTGAAGGAGAGTTGAGGACTTGGGGGGGAAAAAAGTAAAACCCTACTCATCTAACGAACACGTGAATGTTTGATTTACAAAGCTCTTTCTTTCTAGTTTTGGCCAAGCTGTTCCGCGTTGAGCTTTCGGAACGGAAACCCTTCAAAACGGATAACGGCGCTCGTACGCACAGTACAGTGAACGTCCCTTGAGCTCAATACATGAAGTTACGTCATGTGAGCCAGCTTAGTCCTGAATTAAGATAATCTGATTATCAGATCTCCTGTATTAGTCGATTCCTTGGCGCACTACACGATAAAGCCACGTGCTGTTTGATGAGCTTGACTACTCGCCAAGAGGAAGAAAAGGGAAAAAAAACGCCAGGGTTTATTGCTTTGTCATCAGTTGTTAATAAGTCACATCGTTTTCTGCACTGCTGTTTGGGCTGAGCGTCGGATTAAGTGACCAGAGAGCGGTTCCCTATACACCCCCCTCCACACCCAAAATTACAACATATACACAACGTTGTCTAGTTTTAAACGTATTGCTGGAGAGAAAAAAAACAGCACGTGTACTTTTATGATATCAAAATGATTCCCTGAGTCAGACAAGCAACTGAAAGAAACCCACGATGGTAATTTAATAATAGTAATAATATATATTTTTTTTTTTTTTTTTTTTACATTTTTATGTCAATTGACTCCCTTATCCAGAGCGACATATATTTATACATCTTAGCAGTTGAGGGTTAAGGGCCTCGCTCAAGGGCCTCGCTCAAGGGCCCTGACAGTGACCGGTTTTGCAGTGCTGTGATTTGAACTCCGATCAGTAGTCCAACGTCTTAACCACTGAGCTACCACTGCCCCAGTAATAATAATAATAATAATAATAATAATAATAATCGGACGGGAGAATGTTACCAGAGAACGTCTACAGTTACCTACAGCACATATGATCGGATCAAATCGCAAGCGATACCAGATCTCTGCTTAAATCGTATGAGAACTTCACGAAGCACGTGATGGAAGGTCACATGACTATAACGCATACGCTTTACCTGTCCTAGGAACCTAATAATCGGCCTAAAACCCCTGGATTTGTCTCTTCTAAGGCAAAAGTCCTTTCAAACGTCATCCGTATTTCGTTGTCCTGTGACTCGGACAGTTCAATTTGGTTTGAGACTGAGAAGTGCTCACCCCTTATTGGAGTGTCTTTAGACCGAAGAATCAGTGCTGAATTACTTCCCGCTCCCACAGGATCTTTACCAACATGTCCGTTTGGACAGGATACGCTGTATATTACCTCGAGTTATTTCTCCTGGTCATTTAATAGAAGGTAAGACGCGGTGCAGTCGTTCCAGACGTTTGAGAGGCGCAGGCTGTAAAAATGGACTGAGATGATGGAGTTCAAACTTACTGTCCCTATATGTACCCAGACACACTTCTAGTCCTGCACGTGCTGAGCCCCCGAAGGCGGAGAACACGCTGCACATGTGCTGTCAATTGTCCCCTGAGTCGATTTTACAGTTTGAGAATGTCTTAGATTCCTCTCGTCTACACCCTTACTTTGTTTTCCGCCACAAATGGATGACAGGTGAAGTAAGTCTCTGTCTCTCTTTCACACCTTCTGTGTGAGTTCATGTGCCCTTCAAAACTCCGAGCGCGATTGTTTTTTTTTTTTAAACGTTTCCAAACCTGTCCGTCATGCCCGGAGGTTCTCCGGCTCTCCTTTAAAACCACAGTGCCGTGCGGATCCAGACGACGCGTTTGTCGAACGTCGACACAGACGAGCGATTGCGCTCCGTGATGCTCGTGAGCTCATCACGCAGCCACGCTACTCGAGCGAGACTTCAGAAAACCGTTAAAGCCATTAGCGCGAGTCAGCTGCCAGCCCCAGGGCTTTTCCTGCCACTTCTGTCGCATCTGGACAGAGCAGAGAGGAAACGCAGGGGCTGTAGAGGATTGCGTCACTGGTCTGAACCGTTACAAACAGTTCCAGAGCAGGGCTACTCCAAAATCATCATCAGGAGCAGTTACATCGGGAGCAACTTGGGTTCAGTGTCTTGTCCAAGGACGGTTCGGCACGTGGAGTCACGTGGGCAACCTGGTCTACCTCGGTCTAGTGGGCAACCCGGTCTACCTTGCTGTGTCGAGGGCCGTTCTCAGTCCGTCTTCCCCTAAATGGTTTCGATTGTCTCTTCCCACCAAACCCTGTATTTGGAAGTTCCTAATAAAAGTTAGGTGTATGTATTTTTTCAATAAAATACATTTATGTTTGAAGTGCAGGCCTTTGTGTTTTGCGTATTGTTTTATTTATTTATTTATTTTTCCATATGTTTGGATTTCTAAATTTGCTGGAATAAAATTTTGAAGTCTTCGCTGCGGTTGGTGACGTAGATGCTCACTAGATAAAATGGTTCCTGATCAGAAGGTCAGGAGGTCAAGCCCCAGCTCTGCCACTACCACTCTTGGGCCCTTGGGCAAGGCCCTTAACTCTCAATTGCTCACATGTATAAATGAGATAAATGTAAGAGCGTCTGCAAAAATGCCATTAAAAGTAAACGGAAAGAGGCAGAGCTTCAATGGCACTCAAACCGCACCTGTTCCACTCTCTTGACCACTCTCGCTTAAGTCCAAATGTCCTGTCTTCTCACCTCTTTAACACCGTACCACACCTTCCGCCCCCGGCCCCCAGGTGCCGGAGCCGTGTCGCCACACACCGGAAGCTTGGTGCAAATCGGCGTCGTGCTTTTTAATTCCTTCCTCCGGCTCTGCATAATTTCCACCTAACTTAAACGACACCACGTTAGCACGCGTGGGAGCCGCACACACTGGGACCAGATGTGGCCATGAGCACAGGGACACGCACACACACACACACACACACACACACACACACACACACATTTATAGTGTATAAATCACCGCTTTTCAGGAAGGGCCCCTCCCTTCTAACTAGTACAACTGTGTTATCATAGTGTACATTCTCTTACACACTGATTTATGCGTGTGGATCTGTTTTCCGGTTCAGCGTGAGTAAACCGAGCCGTGTTTGTGACACTGGCTTTTATTAAACTCCTGGAGATGCTTTTCATATGCTCTCTTGCGCGCGCTTCATAAATGTCATGTTGAGAGGAGTGAGACGCAGCACACTGACGCGCACACACACACACACACACACCTACATATCCTCAGCGTCTTGTACTCGCACAACAAGCTCTCTGTGTGTGAGGAACTTTACACCTTCCCCTTATTCCTGCTCTGATATTCGCTCATAGGTAGACATTTAGAAAGTGAGTGGCTCTGGTCATGTAGGCACATGGATAAAGGGGTCATGTTTTTGTCCCCCCCCCCCAAACTTTACATCGCTCTGCAGAAAATATAGAGCTTGTTCATTTCAAATAAACTGTCACAAATGGACTTAAATAGCATGAAGTGGTCTCAGAATTCATTTGTTCTACCGATATTCCACCATCGCTTTTATTATGACCTAAGAAACAGAAACTACTTGGGTTTTTTTTTAATTATTATTATTTATTTATTTTTTTCCATATTAATTATCGTATGAATTTACCACCGCGCAAGCAAAAAGGAACAGGCACTTACAAGTAAATGTGCTAGAAACAAAAGTCGTCTTCTTCATTTGGTAACATCATCTAATCTAGTCCTCCGTTCCAGACAGGGGGTTTCATGTCACAGTATCACAGTGCACACCTGCAACTGGCTCTGAACGTCTTTTAGCAGATCGGATACACGTCATCTTGGCCGACGATGATTCTCTGATATCCAAAACGCTCCCGAAGGGCCTGTCTGCCGAGTTTCTGGCACTCGGGTGTCGTGCGAGAACCGCGGGTGGACTTTGAGTAAAACATTTCCGCACGATTCCGAATTTGGACCCGAGTCCGATCTTCTTGCGCAATACCGACTCGAGCGAGGAGCAGTATTAAATCCAGTAACAGTGTCTGACATTCTGTCGTAACCATAAAACGTCATGCTGAAATGTATGTCCTGGGCTGTAAATACGCTTGGGAAGTACGTAAAGCAACCATTATATGTGTCAACGGACATGTGAATCATTTAATTAATCAGAGACGTCGAGGATCTCAAGGAGTGAGATTTTTATAGATAAACATGTTAACTTGATAAAGTGATCTGTGAGCAAAGCTGACGAAAGTATCCACACGTTTGTTTTCTGTATTTTTTATTTATTTATTTTTTTATAGGAGAGCACGTCGAATTCAGTGT